TTGTAATGTTTTAAATACATGCGCTTCTTTAAAAGGATACTTTATCCACTAGAAGCGCATAAATTGTTTTGTTCGTAATAGTATCTCCTTTTTGTAGAATTGTAAATTAAAATATGCTCAGCCATTTTATATGTAGTGTTTTGTATTTATGATGTTGCCTATGGCTGAGTTTTTGAGTGTCCACTACCAGGGGGCTCAAAATGGAGCTTTTTGGTGTGGGGGAGAGTGGAGGGTACTCAAAATTTATTTATTTTATTTATAGATGCAGCGTGAGCAGCGAATCCAAACACATAAAGCAACCAACGATACAGACAAAACGGTTGCTACGACTACCATGACAAACTCGCTCTGTGACACCACTCGATCGGAGTGGTAGAAGGATAATGATATATTACTTGCCTGCTTTGTTTCAATATGCATGGATGAGGACATAGCTTGATCTGAATCGAGAAAAGACATAACAATAAAATTCCCATTAACACACGTGTGTGATCTTCGGCTTTACTTCGTTAAGCAGCTTGCCAACAATTTGCTCGTTTCCTTTTACCGCCCCGAGTGAGCTGTGTCGCACGGGCTGCTTGTGTTGAAAAAAGGAAGAAGATTATATCATTATTGCTTTCCACTTCTGACATAGCGTTATCATTCGGTTCGTTGATCGCTTGTCATTTTGTCATTTGGAGATATTTTTGATTCCTTGAGCGTGAATGAATATGAGAATGAGAGAGAATGATAAAAAAGGGCGAAAGGGAGAAAACGAGAGAGCGAAATAAAGGTAAAACTTATTACAGAAACTCGTTCTAAATATATATTTGCGATCAACGAGTTAGGAAAGAATTTCGAGTTACGGTGATAAATTTTGGAATTTTGCATGGAAAATTCAACCGCAAATGTGTAACCACCTACTGTATTGCCATTTAATATTGATAGCTAGTGCAAATGTTCACCATGATGATTTATTTTGTCATAATTAACGGTAAACAACACGTTTTTTGTCTTCATGTATGTACATACTTGAAAAAATCTTCATGAAAACTGCAAAACGTAACAAAATATTGAGGTACATTTTTTGAAAATTTATTAAGCATCCCCTTGGATCCCCCTATGAATTGTATATGAATCAGTAGGGTATAAGTTGCTGAATGAAGTGACGTTGTTATTAGCTGCTAGTACCTGCTAACCTGCAAGGTACACCCCCTTAAAGATAGTGTAAAAAAATTGTAAAAGCTGGCGTAAATCCTTTTAACAAAGAGATAACGATTTACTGTCTTCTGCAAAAATGTGCATTTTCTCAGCACCTACAACTTTGTAGAATATTTAAAAATCGACAAAATTCAAAGAAAAAAGTTATGGTGAAAAAAAGTTTTTTTTTAAAGAAGGAACTACCGTTTGTAGTCCATTTTCAACCTATAACTTCATCCACTTGAGAGATAGAAAGTTTACACCTTGGACAAAGTTTCTTAAACAGACTTCATCTTCAATGTTTCCATAGGTGTTCATCAAATTTAACAAGACATAAAAAAGTTATTTTTTTTTATCTGAGTGTATACCCTCCTTAACCAAAAATTTTCACTACTAAAATAAAGTACTTAAAAAATAAAGAAACATTTTAGAAGACAACAAAAAGCTATACTCTATAGTTTCGTCGCAAATAGCCATGTCCCACTTTTTTTGAATTCGTCCCACTGTGCACTGGGCCGATTTAAAAGATCAGAATATCAAGTGAAAGGTAATACTTATAATCTAGTCCCATAGGAGGATTGAGCTAAAACCCAAAACATGATAAGTTCAAAAAATATAATTCTTAAACGACAATAAACACATAGCTGATTTGTTTATATGTTGTGTAGAAAAGCCTACATTTTCATGGAAAAATATAAAAACATATTGCGCCCTCTGTCTACAAACCATGAAAACCACAAAAAAAAAATACAATCATTATTTTGATCTTTGATATCGGCCCAGTGGTTCAAAAGTTTAAATGCATAACTGCATTTTGAAAAAAAAAAATCGATTTTTAGACCACCCTAACATAGAAATGGAATGCTAAAATAAAACAGCAACACAGGTTATCTTCCATTTAATTCCACTTAATGAATGTTGGTATCTATGACAGGAACGTATCTCGACTACAATGTGTAATCTTCATCAATGTAACTAAAGACTTATCAAAATCTAAGTACTCATCCCTTAGGACAACATGTCAAGATCACAGGTATAAATATGAAACTACAACATGCTGAATCGAAACATACCTAACTAATAACCAAAGATTTATGTAAAGTAGAAGAGAAAAATCTATACAACTTTTTAATAAGGGAAATCCCCAAAGGCTTGGAATTAAATGGAATATAACCTGTTTTGCTGTTTTAGTTTAGCATTCCACTTCTTCGTATTGTCTCGTGGCTAGGGACATTGTAAATTATGGATTCTGTAAAGTCTTCCTAAGCCATTCTAATCATAATTCCATGGTAATTCTGAAAAGAGGAGAACTTTAGTTAAATTCTATGTAAATTTTCAAGGTTGTTATGATTAGAATTCCAAGCACCATTTACGTTTTTACACGGTCTTGAAGTCCATTCTAAGCATCATAAACTTCTTCAAAACCGTGATGAATCCAGGTTTGTTACTTGGGAATAACATGGTGTTTTTGAGGAGAATTCCATCGGGGTAAGCATGTGGGTGAATCCAACAGGAATTTCGGAGGAGAATTCCAAAGAAATTCTGACATGCATTCCAAGAAAGTTTTGATAGGATTTCCAAAGGAATTTGAATCTGAAGGAATTCCAAAAGAATTATAAGGAGAGTTTTTGGCTGCAATCCAAGAATAAATCCTTGGAAAATTTTGAAGAATATTCCTAGGGAACAGTAGCAGTAGTTATGAAGAAATTTTCAAAGTTGTTCAGGCTCAGAATTTCAGAGGAGAATTTCATGGGAATTGTGAGAAGCACTCAAGGAAAATTATATTTGAATACCGAATTTTGCGAAAAATTCCAACAGAAATTCGAAGAAAATTTCATCAGAATTTCAAAAAACTATTCTTCTAAATTTTGAGGAGAATTCAAAGAGAACTCTGATGATAATTTCCAGGGGAATTCTGACATGGACTCCAAAAACATCCTGACTAGATCTTCGAGAGAATACTGATATTCAATAATCTGAACCAGAGGATGACTCAAATTCTAAAGGAAATCTTAAGAGAATTACAATTCTGAGTGGATGACGAAGACCATTCCTTAGGAATTTTGAAGGACATACTTAGGAAATGTTGTAGTGAGACATTTTCGAAAGAATTTCAATGAATCAATGCAGGGGAAACATGTCAGAAGGGTCTAACTCGAAACGTAAACAATGACTTGGATCGTCGATTTCTTACGAATAACAACACATCCACTCAAACTAACTAAATCATCTGACAGAGCAACGTTTGTTCTATGAGCTGGTGTTGTCAGATTCCGTGGGTGTGTGGTCATTGTTTACATTTCGAGTTATACCCTTCTGACATGTTTCTCGTGAATGGTACTGTAATCAGGGTGGAAACTGATCACGTAATAATGTTAATATAGAAATAATTTTTTACACTATATGAAATTAACAAACTAATGGAATTAAAATCAGTAGCGATGAGGTTTCTATCGTTCTGCTTGATTACTAGGGTGACCCAAAATAACGCTTTGTCTGGAAACCTTGGAGCTCACCTTCCAAATGATAGCCCAGGATGTTACAAAAAACTGGCAGCAATTCTTAAAAAATTTGATTTGGAGTTAACTCTGGTGGGATTTTTGAAAAAAAGCCGATTTTTTATAGTCAGAGCTGAATAATCGCCAAAGCATCGAAATTTAGTACAACCCAATCCTTTGATATTTTTACACATTCCTAAGGGTTTCTACCAAAAGAGAAACATTTGTCATGGCCTGCTAGATGCTCCATTTTATCATGATTTTTAATCCCAATGCATAATGTTATTCAATCATCATGATATCTCAATATTGAAAACATTTTAGCGTTATTTTTTTAAATAATTCAGATTCATTGACATTTAATGACCCTCTCAAGTTGCGGACAACAATCGCTGCAACCCTATGACTGTTTTTTAAATGATGGTGCGGTTTCTCTTCAAATTTTCTACGTGACAACTAAAAACGCAACCCATAATGATCTATTTCTACCCGGTGATAAATTTTCCCCCAAATTACGGTAGCATATGATGAAATATTGTGGAGAACTAGAAGCGAATTTTGGAAGAATTCTTAGGCAATACTGACGGGTGTTGCCACGGAAATTCATAGGAGAACTTCAAGCCCTCTATGGTTATTTTGAAAGGTATTCCTATGGAATATGATAGAGACTTATGAAGAAAAGTGAGCTCATTCGAGAAATTAAATTGTTTAAAAAGGACAGAATTCCTCAAGTTTTTTGGAGAAAATTTTACCAGAATACCAGAGAGAATCCTAAAGAAATCCTGTGAAAAGTTTCAACGAAATGAATAAGGTAGGTAATAATAGAAAATATTTTTTTTAGATATTCTGGGACTCAAACTTTTTCGATACGCCGGATGTGGAAAAATATTTATACCTGCATAAAAAGTTTCCAAGGTTCTGAGCCAACAAAAACGTTCGAAATGCCTGAATTCGAACACTGTTGGAGATTTCAAACTCAACAATAAAATCAAGTTTTAGAGACTTTAATTTTTGTAGGTTTCTGCTACTTAGACAAAAATATTTGATGTTAGAAGCCTTTGATCTTGGGTATTATGCACTCAGGGACATTGCTCATCTTTCGAGAAATCAGTCTAAGAAAAACATTTAATATTCCGGGCTTAGCTAAAATGTAGAGTGATTTATATTAAGAACACAAGCATTAAATATGACGAAATCATGTTTTCTGTTGAAATGGTAAAATCTGCATGCCGTGACGGGGCAGCACTAGTTTGTTCGATTCCACACAAATGCAGTCAGTTTAAATATCGCGCCGTTTCGGATACTCCTTAATCAATCAGAATATTTTCATAGTTTGTAAATCTTATCGTTTATTCAGGTTGTACATTCAAGATATTTGACTGGCAGTTGTATGATACAAAAAAAAAGAGGAAAATCGTTCATTGCACTCACGTTTTTTCAAGCACACTGGATCACTATAATCATAAATCATACAGGTATCTGGTTTGTAAATTAGCGTAAAAATAGAAATTCCTATCGCTCAAAGCTTGAACGATCGGAGTCGGAGAAAGGCTCAGTTCCTGCACCGGGCAGGACCAGCTAGCTGACCTAACATCGGCAACGACCTCACTGGGGACTAGCATTGGATGTCCGTTCCTAACCCAACAGGAGCAGCTTCTTCTTCAGCAGCAGCTTCTTGAGCAGGAAAGTCTGGGAGTCCTGTGGGTTGACGGTATCGTCGGCGGCGCCTCCATCGGCTCCGAAGATGCTCTCATCGTTAACGGCGGGCACGGCGGCGACCAGGGCGAAGGCCAGCACGACGAGGCAGATGGTCTGGTGGAAGGAATGATAAAATTAGCACATTTCGCACGGTTTTACACTGACGGATGTGTGGAAATCCTTGTAAATTTTCGTCACATGTGGTAAGTATTAAAATCGTATAGTTCGTAATTTCCTCGGTCACATTGTTAACCTCTTCCGTTCAGTAAATTTCACTGATTGACACATTTATATTCGAGATTGGACATCATTTGTACTACCACTTGAGTGACGAAAATTCACAAACCATTTATGGTCACAGTCTTCGAACCGATCACCGATGGTCACGATGGATGAGCACAATGTACCATGAAGGGTTCACATATCAAATACTTTGTTTTTCCACACGACAATCACACACGTACCATGAGTAGGAATTTCATTTTGGTTGATTTGGAGTAGCTGGTTTGACCACGAAACTTGAACTGCGTTTGGATCGATTAACAACACACGACTGATAGTGACCCTTCCAACGGCAAGGAATTTATATACCGAAGCTGCTTCTGACGGTGTGCTCAAGATCAACTCGTGCCATCAGCAGTCCCGGTTTCAAGCAGAGCAACGGCCAGCACCCTCCAACCGAATCCCCGCGCCTTTCGTCCCTCGCTGCCACAGTGTAATAGTAGCCTATGGTACCGATTCCACATGAAAACAAAGCCTCCCCCCACCCCTCCAGGTCCGACATATGGTGGTATGCAGCATAGCCCGAACGTACGAAGGGGACTCGGTGTTTCCATTTGTCTAGTTGCGGCACTTGGCGCTCACGCGGTATTCGCGGATTTTTGTTCTCATCTCTGTCTGCCTGCCGGTTGTTGTGGTGTTTGTGTTTTTTTTTTCTCCTGCGCCCATTAAAACAGCTGGTTTTGGATGCACGTGGAAGATCGCTCAGCAGGATCGGCATGGAGCTTCTTGGATATTTCTAACGAAAATAGGATCATTCTACGGGGGACGCTCGGCTCTAGCACATCGAGCTGATTCTGACCGGATCTAATCGGGAAAAGAGAAGAGATTGCGAGCTGAAACTATACGCTCACATATTCTGACAAATATCAAGCTTGGTCCGCTTCAAGTGCTTAAGAGTTGGTTAAACATCTCAATCGAGTGCAGGATTTCAAGCGGTTAGCGTTTTGTTTGCGGTAATATTTAGTGATGAACTGTTCCTTCGTTTTAAATATACTTTGTTGTGAAAAAGTGCCATGTAAGCAGTTACATCAGCAAATTTCAAAAGCGTTGTCTCACTGAATGAACATTTAGTTGTGTTAATTTGTTTAATATTTGTTTTATGAAGTTATGCGATGTGCTTCCTTTAGCAAATATTGTGCTTTGGTTCGAAGTTAAATAAATATGAATCGTGTGCAAAACGCTAATTCAGTCAAGCTGATTATATGTATCGCTAAACCAGGAAATGGTGATTTCAAGGCCATTTTGGCATTTTAAAACCAGTTTGGGAAGTCAATATTATTTTGTTACTCATTTGGGCCATTTTTGCAGTTTTACCCAAGTAACAATTCAGCAGCTATTTGGCATCCACTCTGATTTAATGATGGTTTATAACGACAATGAATTAATGCCGGTGGTGCTGTAGTGGTAAGCGTGACTGCCTCTCACTCCAGAGCGCTGGGTTCGGCACCGTCGCGATTTTCTGAGGCATAAAATCTCTGATCACGCCTTCCTTCGGAATGGAAGTAAAGTCGTTGGTCCCCGGTCCATGAGTTGATGGGTCGATAGGTAGGGTCCAGGTGTGGGATGTGACTCCTTGGTGTCGGTAGCAGTGGTACCAACAATCAATACGAAACTAACGATTTTAAATTTGCTCACCACTTTAGTAGCCTATAGGTCCCAAGCAAACGATTAACGTACCCTATTCTAGTCGAAATTCTAGTACTACGCAATGTTTGTTTTGATTCGCTTTGAAAGTTTGACAGATAAAATGAGGGGTTATTGGTTTTTCCTATGTTTCGAGGGGTGATTCGACAAGCTTGGGACCGAAGATAGTACCAGAGGTGTGTGTGTGTGTGTGTGTGTACAATCTAACCCCCACTGTCCGGCAGTGTTATTATGGAAGAAAACTGCTTTTTATTACCCTTAAATTAAAGCAGGTTTAGTCCGGGAGTTAGAAGGTGTTAGCTCTATTGCAGCTCCAGTGACCCATTTCAGAATGCCTGGTAATTCACGACCACTCCGAAGTCACTTTTTCTTACAATAAGCTCCGCATGTTCACTCTACCTTTATCAAATGGATAATGGTATCATAAACACACTTCCAGATTCAAAAAATATTATTTCCAAATCTGGCACGTATATAGTTTTGAAATTTGTTCAACTGTATTAAATCGATTTGAATGGACATTTCTTATCAATTTTGTTTCGAATACCTCTTGATTAATCTGCTGGCAGCACTTACTGGCCCTTACCGGCGACCAACTCATCTGCCCGCGATAGCAACAACGCCTAAATTTCAAAGCTCTCCGAACGTCCCCTCGAAAATGCAATCGAGATATGTATAAGAACAATCTTCAACTGGAACGTACTCACCAAATCAATACATCCGGGAGCACATTCCCGATGCTTATTTATCTCTCGCAAACCCGTCATTGTCGAACGGCAAAAAAAGGAAACTCGGTGAGTAATTCTGTGACACGGAATTTTCACTGAACATTAACATAAACTGAAATTAAAAATTATCACTCGCGATGGCACTAATTTCTGGTCCGGGACATCTCTTCTGATGCTTGCAAACATGTTGAATCACGTTTTCTTTCTCTATTCTAAAACTTCCCGAACGCACACACAAAACAGAGAACAAACTTAAAACACAACCGTATCCAAAGGCGTTCGAAACAGCACCCGCACTTTAGGTGAATCATCCTGTCGCAAAAAAGCCATGCAGGAGATTGATTCTTCATCGCCTTTAACTGGTTTAGCGCATTGGTCACAGGCGGAAGTCATGCTGACTCAGTTTCCAAAAGTGTTTTAGAAACAGCGGTGGAGATGCTCTAATACGCAAAGAGGAATTGGATTCTCAAGATCGCCCAATGCTATGTCGGATTGGATAACTTTTTCACTGTTTTCACAAAACAAAATATGCTCTAATTAGACGATTATCGCAACGAACTGCACTTTCCACTAACAACCAGTACAATATTACAGGTATACCGAACGGAAAAAAACGAATAACGATAGCCCGTGTGATAAAAAATCGACAAATTTAGCAGCGCACAATCACGACGATGTGAATAACAATAACTGTCTACGTGTCACCTCTCGACCGAAGATAGTACCAGAGGTGAGCCAAAAAGTTGAGCACGTTTCTTCGGGACCTACTTGTCTTAGAGTTACTTCTATGGTGGTACCAACAATCAATACGAAACTAACGATTTTAAATTGGCTCACTACTAGACTAGCCTATTGGTCCCAAGCAAACGATTAACGTACCCCATTCTAGTCGAAATTCTATTACTACACTATGTTTGTTTTGATTCGCTATGAAAGTTTGACAGATAACATCAGGGGTGTGTGGATTCATGCAGAACATGCAGGGGTGAGTGAAATAGCTTGGGACTGCTTGGGACCGTTGTTCTGGTACTGAGTGAGCCAAAAATAATAATGATTTTCTTCGGGACCCAGTGGTCTTAGAGTTACCTCTATGGTGGTACTCAGTACATAAAACAAGATCGACGGAAATCAAATAAAGGAAAAATAAACGACAATGAACAATCCATTTAGTTTAAATACAGCAATCAAGGGGTAATCAACTCTGCAAACTGTGCCGAAGCACATCGTAGCACATTGATCGGCACGTTAGAACACACCATGACAGAATAAAAAAATAACGCGGCATCACCAACCGGTGGAAACTAACGATTTTAAATTGGCTCACTACTTGACTAGCCTATTGGTCCCAAGCAAATCGATTAACGTACCCCACTCTAGTCGAAATTCTAGTACTACACTATGTTTGTTTTGATTCCCTATGAAAGTTTGACAGATAAAATGAGGGGCTCGTGGATTTTCCTATGTTTCGAGGGGTGCATCGATTAGCTTGGGACCGAAGATAGTACCAGAGCTGAGCCCAAAAGTTGAGCTCGTTTCTTCGGGACCTTCTGATCTTAGAGTTACCTCTATGGCCTCACTGCTTTGTGTTCACAAGCGTTGCTAAGGTTTATTACTTTGTTTACCTCAAAGTAAAGGGGAAGTTTTTTTTTCAGTTTTATTTTTTTGTCGATTTTCCAGTGAGGTTCTGCCAAATCATAATTGACGGACTCTCCGTGCCCTTATGCCTTTTGGGAGATGGATCTCTAAAGAAAGTCTGCAGGGTATTTGAGGGATGTCCATAGTTTCGAAAGGATTTATATTTTGGGGGAAACCTAAACAAATTAGTCAGAGTCACCATGCCGCGCAGAATAGGCCCAGATGGCCAAAGGATCCGCTCCCAAAGCAAATTGTATAGGTAAAGAGAATTTCAGAATTCATTCTCATTTGCAGCATTGATAAATAGTATCAGCAAGAACCCGCTGCACAAAGATCCTGCCAGTTTCTCACGGAAAACCACTCGGTACGATTGATGGTCCACCAATCAGTCAGCTGTACAGCTCATTGCATAATGGATTGAACGATCTCGAAGATTCAATTGACTATGGAGGCTGGTGGAGTTTAGTAACATTATAATGTATGGTAACTCGTAATGTCTTGTTCAGATTACAGTGTTATAACATGTTACACGTGTGTTATGATAATTATCAACAAGTAAATCGTCATCAAAATAGCCTTGTAATAATTACACAACAATTGGAATGACCAATGTGCAGCTGTTAGGATGTAATATTCATTAACTCTATATTCATTCGATTAGTAAGTGGTATGTGTCTCACGGTGGATGCCTTGGTCCTCTTATCATTTTCAAGAGCTGAGTGACTGGCTTGAAAAAAGTGACCAAGTCACTAAAAAGTGACTCGCTACCAGCCCTGTATTTTGAACTTGTCAGTGATGCCAGTTCTTAGTCAGGTCAATTTAGGTAGATCAATTGACCTGACTAAGAACTGGCATCACTAACAAGTTCAAAATACAGGGCTGGTAGCGAGTCACTTTTGAGTGACTTGGTCACTTTTTTCAAGCCAGTCACTAAAAAGTCACTTTTTTTAAGGCCAAGTCACTAAAGTCACTTTTTCTTGTAATAAGTGACTATTTGAAACTTTTTTAAACGTGAATTTATTTCAAGATTGATCATTCTTCTGGATAAGCCTAGATTTTGTTTTATTTTTGAACACTTCGAAGTTGACGAACTGGTAAAGAGTTTTTTTTAACGTTAAATCGTTATTCTCTATCTACAGGGTGTCCACTACAGTGATGCAAAATTTGAAATTTCCGCTCCACAATACTTAAACGATTCCAAATCGGATCATGACTAACCTCTCAAAATTTGAACCCATTTGGTGAGAAACTGAGATGGCACAAACCATTTGAAGTTTGTATGGGAATTACTATGGTAAAACCAAGATTTTTGTTCATGT